CGCGGTAGGACGGTAACGCCGTTAACGTATCGTTTCTTCTCTCTCTCTCTCTCTCTCTCTCTCTCTCTCTGCCGAGTTCGAAAATATAAAAAGTCGAAAATTGAAAACGCGCGATTTTAGTTGAGGTAAAAGTTTGCCGTCGAGGAACGCGCGATCGGTCGCGCTCGAACGAGGCTCTCCCGGTTCTTCCACACCGTGGGCGCCGCGAGTGGGTTGGTGACCACCGAATCGAGAACTTCGCGGCCCACTCGTATCGCGCTCGCCCACGTAAAAAAACCAAACCTCTCCTCGTGACCGCGTAGGTGCTGACCCGATGGCTATACCCTCGCCATTTCGATCTCTTCGATTTTCGAAAACCTTGCGTGTCCATCTTCATTAGACTCTGTTACTCGACAATGCTATTTTTGATTCCAGCACTGCTAGCTTCTCTCGAGAAGATATTCGAAATTAAGGAAATTCAGATCATTTTAGATGATACTTGTTATTATAGAGATATTTAATGTTTAAGATAAAAAAATTTACTTTAGAAGATAAACTTGAATATTTGAAGGAAATATCTGTGGTATTCTTTTGCAAAGCTAGATAAGTAGTTGGCTCCGATCTGATCGAATATATAACGGAATGTTTTGGTCGCGATGCTTTCAGGTGGGGATGAAGCGCGTGTCGCGAGGGCGAGAGGAAGCGGACGCGGAGCATTACCGAGCCCCATCCTCGCTAATGGAACGCCCTCGTCGAGAGTGTCACCACCTCGCGCGGGCTGGGCAGTGCGGATTACCGAGGAGACATTACCCCAACGTCAAGTCAGCGTCCATCGGTTCCAGATACACCATCGACGGCCGTCGAACGATGGGCTAGCGAGCGGACGGCACCGGTTTGACGGGTTGTGCCGCATCGTCGTTGTCAGCAGCAGCAGCAGCAGCAACGGCAACAAACGTACGAGGAGGATCGTTTTCCGCAGCGGATCGAGGACCAGCTAGCACGGCTGGTATCCGTCTCGAGCATCGTCGACTCGAGGAGAGGGAGGAGCTGGAGGCGACGAAGAAGGTGGAGCATTGGCAACAGCAACAGTGTCAGCAGGATCAACGGCAGCGGCGTCATCTTGAGACGCCAGCGGCGCAAAGTCCAGCGGGACGTGCTTTTGAATTGAGTGGTCGGCCGATGTCGCGTAACAATGCGATACCGCCGCTCACGCGGCCTCCCTCCTCGCGAACGAACATTGCCGCGGGCGCGGCCGCGGGCGGTTTCGTCGCCGGCACCGACGCGGACTGTGTCAGCGGCGCCGGCGAGGATGCGGACTCGCGCGTGCACGATCACAGCCGGCCGTTTCCACCGCCGCGGTTACCTCTCGTGCACGTGACGACGGTACCGTCGGTGCCGCCGCCGCCGCCGCCGCCACCGCCGCCCCCGCTGGGATCGCAATCGGTACCCGGGACTCCGACGCCCCGCGTGGCGGCGCCCATCACCATGCCTCTAACGCCATTATCGAGTTCCTTCCGGAGCAGGCCGTCCCTGCGTCGCTCGCAGAATATCATGGAGACGCCATCGCCGGGCGACGCGAATTCCAGGAGTCTGCTGTCGCCATCGTCCACGGACACGACGATAACGACGATCGCGTCCTCACCCAGGAGCCCGATTGGCGAGGTGAGCCTCGCTACGCCACGACCGGACGGCGAGAGAACCATCAACGAGTACGTCGAGGCGCCGTTCAAGCACTCGCGCTGCAATCAGGAACGACGCCTCGATGCCGAGAACAAGACGGCCGGGGATCCCAAAACCGATAGGAGGCATCATCATCATCATCACCACCATCATCGTCATCATAGAGATCATCACGATGACGCCGCCACGGTGGTGCCGACGCATCGAGCGCGCGGTCGTGCGAGGAATCAAAGTTTGCGCGGTTTTAGCGGCACGACGACCGGCGGCTCCCCCGTCGCCGCGTCGACGACGGCGGCGGCGGCGGCGAACGCCGTCACGAAGCAGCCGGTCTCCTTCACCAAGGAGCCGGCCAATACCCTTGGTGCGAGAACTTACGATCCCGCCGGTCTGTCGATCATATGCGATTTTTGCGGCAGGTGTCGATGCGAGTCGTGTCGGGAGCCGCCTCCGCTGCCCAGCAAGTGGCTCTGCGACAACACGTGCCTCTGCTCGGCAGAGACTGTCCTAGACTATGCGTCGTGTCTGTGTTGCGTCAAGGGACTCTTCTACCACTGCGTGGACGGTGGTAGCGGCGGTGGTGTGGCCAGCAGCATGGACGACGAGGCCGCGACGAGCTGCGCGGACGAGCCGTGCTCCTGCACCGGTAATCGCACGGTATCCAGGTGGGCCTGTCTGGGCGCTCTAGCCCTGGTGATGCCCTGCCTGTTGTGCTATTGGCCTCTTCACGGCTGCGTCACCCTCTGCGAGGCGTGCTACGTGCGTCACGCCGCGCAGGGCTGCCGGTGTAATCCGGGTGCGACCGGTAGCAGGCATCACCCCATCACCAGCGATATCGGGGACTCGAGGGATCCGGAGAAGAGGCTGTTGGACCCGGTCACGCCGGAACTCTGAGGTGCCGATCTACCGCGTAGAAAGCGGCGTCTTTGGTGACGCATCGGTGACCGCGGAAACAAGTTCGGGATAGCCCAGGAACACCAGGGAGGAACCCCGCCCTGATGGACATATGTATGTGGGGGTGGGGTTTAGTGGGAGCAAAAGTGAATTGCATCAAGTACAAGTGCTGCATTTAAGTCGAGGAGAACGATATCGGATTTTGACGAACCTGTACGTTTGATGTCTCGCGAATGTCTTTATTTATTATTCTTCCATGAATGAAAAGTGCGTGCGTATGCGTGGGAGAGTGTTCACGTCTCTTGCGTGCGTTTCTGCGCGCGCAAAAGAGGCGAAAATGTATATGCGTGTATATGTGTGTATGTGTGTGCGTGCGAGAAAGAGAGAGAAAGAGAAGAGAGCGAAAAAGAGAGCGATGTACGAAAGGAGTATCTGCCTGTATACGCGTGTGCGAACGGTAGAGAGGAACGAGGTACGCGAGTGGCGTACCGTCCAGACATACCACTTACGCATAGATAACTCTATACATAATGAATTATATGCATTGTACCACGCGCGCCGAGCGAAATCGAATGAACGGTAATATATCGGGATCTGGGAGGCAGGGGGGAGAGGGGGAGACTACATACACCCAGAGTAAA